CCCCCTCTTCAGGATCCATCCCAGAGTCTGTCTGCTTATAGTCTCCATCATGATCTGGTTGGAGATCCGTCGGACTGGTCCACGCAGATGGCTGTGTTTCCTTTCTCCTCTTTGGATCCCCTTCTCCTTCAATTTACCAAGAGTGTGTGTGTACCTTTTAAATGTGTGGGTTGTTGGTGGGTGCTCTGGTATGGTGTACTCCTTCTTTCATGTCAAACATTTATTTTCTTTATCTCTCCTCTTTCTTTTCTTTGTTACTCTCTGACTCCAATGACAGCTCTGAACTTCAGCACTTGTATGACCTTTTTTATGTTGCAAGTGCTTTAAAACTTTTACTTAAAGCTAAAAAAATACTCAAAAAATATTTAAAATGTAGTTCTTTATTGTAAACATTTTATACCTGTAGCGAGATAATTTTAATGGTTTAGGAAGCAGGTAACTTCGACCCTGCCTGTCAGGGCTGGCATTGGATGAGAGGGATGCAACATCCCAGCTGACAGACAGGACTTGCCGAAGTATTGGATGACTAGAAGGAAATTAGACTTGCCAGTGGGACTTTCCCATAAATATAGGAGTAGACATGGGTACCTGTTGACGCCAGTTAAACTTTTTTAGAGTTTCTTCTTCTTCTTCCTCGTTCTCGATGACACTCCTAGACAGTCAGTCCGATGTCGCGCACAAACTGTGCAGTCCGCTTCAACTCTGAGAGACTGCCACAGAGCTTTCTCTCAAGGGGAGCCACATTTTACCACGTCTGTGTACAAAGGTTTTTTTAGAGTACTAAAGGAAGAAATTTTGAGTTCACCAATACAAAAACGAAGAGGTACAGTGAATTCTGCTTGAACTAAAGAAAGTTGAAGCGAATGTGGGGATAAACGTCAAGAAAATAAAATTCCAGATTTTTTTCCATCTCTCAGAACCAAAAACCGGTCACTGTTACCCAATTTATGTTTCTGTCAATGTCTCCGCAGGTTCTCCATGTCTCCCCGAGTCTTGTGTCCTACGTCACAGAAGAGCTCCACAAACAAGTGGTGATAATTCTGAACAAGATCGACTTTGTTCCCACAGCCCTTGCCGTGGCCTGGAAACGTTACATCCAAGCACGCTTTCCTGGCGTGCCGGTCGTGTTTTTCTCATCCTTCCCGAGAGATGTCCCGCAGGCTGAGGTTCTCTCCAATTTTGATCCCTCTAAAGGTAAATTGCTTTGATCCGTTTCCACTATGAGTATGATTCTTCTAAAGACAAATTGATATGATCCTTTTTTCTTATGATCCTTCTGAAGGTAAATTGCTATGATCCGTTTCCACTATGATCCTTTTTTCTTATTATCCTTTTCCGTGTAAATTGCTATGATCCGTTTCCACTATGGTCCTTTTTTCTTATTATCCTTCTAAGGGTAAATTGCTATGATCCTTTTCCACTACGGTCCGTCTAAGGGTAAATTGCTATGATCCTTTTTTTCTTATGATCCTTTATAAAAAAGTGAAGAGACATACACTGGAGTTACTGGCAGAATGCGTTGCATTATTTGTTAAAAATATTTCTCTCTCTCTCTCTCTCTCTCTCTCTCTCTATCTCCTCTCTCTATCTCCTCTTTCTCTCTCCCGCTCTCTCTCTCTCTCTCTCTCTCTATCTCCTCTTTCTCTTTCCCTCCCTCCCTCTCTCTCTCTCTCCTCTTTATCTCTCTCTCTATCTCCTCTTTCTCTCTCCCTCTCTCTCTCTATCTCCTCTCTCTCCCTCTCTCTCTCTCTCTCTCTCTTTATCTCCTCTCTCTCTCTCTCTCTCTCTCTCTCTCTCTCTCTCTCTCTGTCTCTGCCTTTCCCCTCCATTCGTCCTCTCTGTCTTTCACTTTCTTCTCTTTTTCATTCTTTCATTGCTGCTGTCATATCATTGGTCCTGTGACGTACAAACTCTTCAGAGATGTCTAAGTCAAATCCCCATTATATTCTGTGCATACACTTCCACACTTCTATGTAAGGGGGACAAAACTAGTCAAAATTGTCCACAGCAGCCATCTGTTCTTTTGGAAGAAAAGTGGTTGTTTTAGACAGTTCAACGTCTTGGCTGGTGTAACTATAATAATAAAATAAAAAATGCAAGGGGTGAAGTGGGAAATGGTTGCTTGTACAAGGTGATTGTCTTGGAAAATTAACCGTTCGAGTTAGTTTGACTGTATTTTGATCTTGTTTTTTAAAAACTTTTTTTTCAGGTTTATACAAACATCCATTCCAAGGGAAATACACACCAGTTGGTCCGGCTGAGCTCTTGTCTGTTTGTCAGGGCATTGTGAAGGACAAAGGTCAGTGTGAGAAGAACATTGCATGGTTTTATTTTGTCCGTCTGTGTCCGACTCTATATGTGCATGAATATTGATGTCTAGAATAGTGTTGAAAAGTGTAATTTCCTTCTTAATATCTACCACCAGGATTTGTCAGAATTTTATGTAGAGTAATCTTTGTACACATATGTTATATAGTGTCATCAGTTGTAATTATGGTTGCGAATAACATGGTTTGTGGCTACAAAAAATGGAGCGATACACTTTTCGAGTCAAATATATGTGAAATGACAGTTGGAGGGTGCTCCATGGAAGTTTTTTAATGACATCATTTTTATATCAGTAGATTCATGTTATGTATTTTGTGAATTGCATTGTGTATATTGTTTTATTATATATGTGCTCATTTCGTGACGATGTGTAAGCATGCGTGTGTGATAAGCAAGTAGATGTGTGTGTGTGTGTGTTTGGCGTACATGTGTGTGCACACGTGTGTGTGTTATGTGAGTGTGTGTTTGCGTGTCTGTATGTGTGTGTGTGCGTGTGTGTGTCGCGTGCGTGAACATTGTTCGTACATGCTTTTATGTAAAGCACCTAGAGCTGTGTTTACACGGGAGTGGGCGCTATAGAAGTGATCTTCATTATTATTAGGGAGTGCTTATTTAGGCCACATATGGCCTAAATAAGGTAAGGGAGGGGGGTTTAGCTTATTTAGGCCACACATGCTCAAACTACCCTTTTCAGGCAACTGAGTTCGTTCCACTTTCATAATGGTGCACCTTTCTCATTTAGTACGGTTTTGTCTCAGTGTACAACTTATAAATCATAACCATAATGAATATTGTAAAGAACAAAGCACAATACGCAAAATTTTGCTCAATCCCAATGGTTTGAATGAGGGCCAGATTTTTCCTTCATGGAGGGGCAAAAGCTAGGCTACCATTTTGGCACACTTTGGTCAAGTGAAAAGGTCAAATCCTCCGAATGGACTTCCGGGTTAAATTTGGGGTATAAAAAGTGTGTACACTACGTGGCTGAGTCAAAGTTACACTATCTTTGTCTGAGTGACACGCTCTCTTACTGTCTCGTAGTAGTACATGTAGGCTAGTAGGCCTAGTAGTAGTAGTAGCAAAGATCGTGTAGAGAATATTTGGTAGTAGATTCTATCTATAGGCAGTTTAGTGAACGTGCTCGCAGCAGGGCGAATCGGCCTCGATAAGCCCCGTAGACTTTTGTGATCGGCCACGAAGCCTCGTGTTTTGATGGGTCTAGATCTAGATCTAAACAACTCAGTGTTAATCACACTGCCACATCCGACAGGCCTAGATCTACATCTATTTAAAAGGAAAACAAAGATCATCAAAATGGTTGAATTCGCCTGAAAATCGATTCGGTAGAACTAGAACTATTAAAATTTGCTTCTGAAAACAAGCTATTTTTATACGAAGGCCATTTTTATAACTCGGTGAAATAAAAACTACTGGCTGTGTACTGTGTTATTCTGTATAAAAATAAATTATGAAACTTCAGGACGTATTATTATTTTCCAGCATCTTTTGACGCCTGAGCTGTAGAGGTTGAAGTTTTCACAACACTAATAGATCTAGTAATAGGCCAGGTAATAGGGCTTTCCGTAAAAAATGCATAGATCTACAAAAGCCGAACCACCGAATCGACCGAGCACCTCGCTCTCCCCTGCACACTGTGATAATGTGTTGCTTCGGTATCGCATTATTCAACTATTAATACGTGCGGCTATGGCAATTGGGATTTACTGACTGACAAAAAATTCAGTTTTTTAAAATTTTACCATATATTTGACTTTAATAGTGCAGGCGATAGCAAGATCTAGATTCCCTGTCTAGAATCAGTAGTAGCAGGCCTATGCTAGAAGTAGCCAGAGAGCCTACAACTGCTAGATCTAGATCTAACTTATTATTGCTATGCCTTTGGGCTTTGGAATTGAAATAAAACGAATTGCACAGTTCTAGTTACTTTTAGATTCAGCAAGTAACTGTATTTCCAGAGTTAATAATAACAAATCTCAGCATAACAATCACTTTTACTTTTATTAGAATAATTAGATCCAACTTTTTTTCTAAAATCTGTTTTGCGCAAACTTAAGATTTTCTCTACTTGTAGAGCAGAGAATTTACATTGTAAGCCTCTGCTCAGTCTTTTAGTATACATATAATAAAATACACACACACACACACACACACACACACACATATATATATATATATATATATATATATATATATATATATATATAGATAGATAGATAGATAGATAGAGAGAGAGAGAGAGAGAGAGAGAGAGAGAGAGAGAGAGAGAGAGAGAGAGAGAGAGAGAGAGAGAGAGAGAGAGAGAGAGAGAGAGAGAGATCTATATCATCATTTTATATTGTTTTCGGGATATTTTTAAAACTCTCTTTTTTCAACATGTCATAAAATCAAATTGTGCCATTTTCTTTGAAAAGAATAACATTAGCAGTGGACTTTTTAGAAAGCGAGTCTCTGATTCAATATAAAAAAAAAAAAAGCTAATCAATGAAAATTGCAAATTGATAATAGTTTAGTCCTGAAGAGGATAGGTGGACTCCTGGGTCTGCAAAGCGAAATACTAGGTTTTAGGATGTAAACCCCCGAGTCACCGTAGTGAAATAAGGTTTGGTTTAAGTAAGGATTGGTGGACCCCGGGGTCAACGTAGTGATAAATAAGCAGGTTTAAGGTGGACCCCGGGGTCTACCTAGCGAAATACTAGGTTTTAGGACAGGTGGACCCCGGGGTCACCGTATTGAAATAAGTATTTCTTTAAAGATAGGTGGACCCCGGGGTCAGCGTAGTGAAATAAGTAGGGTTAATTTTAAAAGGATTGGTGGACCCCGGAATCACCATAGCCGTAGAGGAATAAGAAGGTTTAATTAAGGATTGGTGGACCCCCGGGAAACCTAGATTAAACCTACTTATTTTACTACGGTGACCCCGCAGGTTCCACCTATTCTAAAAACCTAACTAGCATTTCGTTAGGTAGACCCTGGGGTCCACCTTAAACCTACCTATTTCACTACGTTGACTCCAGGGTCCACCAATCCTTAAAATTAAACCTAGATCTACATGTACTTATTTCACTACATTGACCCCAGGGTCCACCAATCCTTAATTAAACCTAGATCTACTGATTTCACTACATTGACCCCGGGGTCCACCAATCCTTAATTAAACCTATATCTACTTATAATTTCACTACGTTGACCACGGGCTCCGCCAGTCCTACTATAAAATAAACTGAGATCTACTTATTTCACTATGTTGACCCCGGGGTCCACCGATCCTTAGTTAAACCTAGATCTACTACTTATTTCACTCCGCTCACTCCGGGGTTCACATCCTAAATCCTAGCATTTTGTTAGGTAGACCCCGGGGTCCACCTATCCTTTTGGCTAGATAGACCCCGTAGTCCGCCTATCCACTTTCTTGATAATAACTGAAAACAATACATGCCAGTTGTCAAGAATAGTGAAGAAAAATGATGGAAAAAAAAGACAATGAGGTAGACTGTAATTTATCAAAAAAATTGCAAGTGAAGATCATAAAATAATTTTGTTATTTTCTGGTCATCTTTCCCGGTTTATAAAAAAAAAATTCAGTGGGCCTACTACTAGATCTATGTCTCTGAAGAACATTTTGCTTGCCTTTATTAGCTTTTTTCATGTACATGAAAGCATAGAATATATAGTTTCACACAAATATATGCACAATACTTTGAAAAAGAAAGATATGGTCATTGTTTTTTTACGGAATCCGTTTTACGTTGAGAAAAGCGCTAAAAACAAGTTAAAAAATTTTAAGAATGCCCATAATATTAGTATTAGGAATCCGAAATTACTACCTAGTTGGCTTACTCTTTAATAACCATGAGCAGTTAAGAAAAAAAAAGACAATGATATAGGATTTGTCTAAATATGACCATTAGCAATAAAGATTCTGCCCATTTTGTCCAATTATCCTTGCAGGTAAAATCACTCTGCACTGTACCTCAATAAGCACAAAAGGAATATTTCTGTGACTGTGTATAAAAGTGTGGCCTAAATAAGGTAAGGGAGGGGGGTTTAGCTTATTTAGGCCACAGGTGTGGCCTAAATAAGGTAAGGGAGGGGGGTTTAGCTTATTTAGGCCACCTGTGGCCTAAATAAGGTAAAGGAGGGGGGTTTAGCTTATTTAGGCCATATGTGGCCTAAATAAGGTCACCCTTATTATTATTATTATTTGTTTACACACATCCTGGGATTCATCATGGCGATCACTGCGGGTGCTCTGGTGTGGTTTGCTCCCTTCTTTCATATCAAACATCTATCATCCTTATCTCTTCTCCTTCCTTTCTATGTGTGGTACTCTCTAGTACCACCTCTAATCTTCAATACTTTAATTTATTATCTAGCCTATTTGTGTTTTGCAAGTGCTGTAAAACTTTTCTAAAACATGGAGATCTCTTGTTGTCTGAGCAAGGGCACAGCTGGGGGTGACATTACCGCCACGGCACGAGACTCAAATGTCCTCGTGGACAGCTGGAGGTAGAGTTTTGGTGAGCCTAGGCCACATTAATATATATTCCACACGCACAAAAAAATTAAAATGAAATAAAATAAATGAAAAAGAAAATTTAAAAAAAAAATGTTTAAAAAATGAATAAATAAATAAAATAAAAATGTTTCACATGTTTTCTTATTAAAGTGCATCTAATACATTATCTTCTCAGTCTTAATTAATAGCAGTTCAGAACGTGTACGGTTCTTCAGAACATGGGCTCATAGGTCTCAGGGGTCATTATGTTATGGTGATGTAGAAAAAATGTGATGGAGGATGTGGGAAGTGTTTGTTCTTTCAAGTGGTTGTCTTACACTTAGACAGGTGGTCATTAGTAGAGCAGGTCCATCTGTATCCTGCTCAGTGGGTGGTTCGCGGGTGCTCTGGTGTGGTTTGCTCCTTCTTTCCCATCAAACATGATCTATAGTCCTTATCTCCCCTCCTTCTTTTTTGTGTGTATGTTACTCTCTTGTAACACGTAATCTATTCTTCGGCACTTATGTGACCTTATTGTGCTGCAAGTGCCGTAAAACTCTTACTAAAACTAAACTAAAACTATCCTGCTGAAACAAACTGTTGGTTTCCATCTTATTTATTTATTTATTTTTTTGGGGGGGGTTTTTAGTTGACCTCTCTGGCTGGGAAGAGATGTTGGAGGATTCGAACCCACCGCCATCCACCCTGAAAGATCCCTGCGACGGTGACGGAAGTCCTGAGGGAGATGTGCAAAGTTCTCAGGCCTCCGATAGTCGTGAAGAAGCCTGTAATGAGAGGCAATCGTTGAGCGGTACTCCATCTGCCACTCCACAGTACAAAGATGGCGTCTTGACCATTGGCTGTATCGGTAGGTTTTGTTTTAGTAGAGGTTTTACGGCGCTTGCAACTGCATAAGGTCATATGAGCGCCAATTAGTAGGTTTAATTGATATATAACTTCACTTTGATTTGATTCCTTAGCGGGGAAGTTATCGCGACCTCAGTGGTTTCTTATTTTATCTCCATTTGCCTGTCGCTTTTAAAATTATATAGATTGTGTAATTTTGAAAATATTTATCATCATTACCTCATAGTGTGTTAGTGGTTGGCGGGTGCTCAGGTGCGGTTCGCTCCTTCTTTCCTATATCAAACATCTATCGTCCTTATCCCTCCTCCTCCTTTTTTGAGTATGTTACTCTCTTGTAACACATCTATTCTTCGGCACTTATATGACCTTATTGTGTTGCAAGTGCTGTAAAACTCTAACTAAAATTTAACAAACTTACCTATAGCATTCATGACCATGTAAAAATTTAGCTCAGTTCAACTCCCCTGAAGTATGTAAAAGGGTTTTCCCCTAAAGTGTCTCTCCTTACGAGACAAGCTTTAAGCTGCCTGTTTTGTTTTTGGAAAATGTTAGTGTATATTGTAAAATGTATTGAGCACTTTCTTAACTCATTCGCTACGCCGAGCCGTGGGGGGCGGCGCGGCTAAAGTGCTGTCAGTACGCTAAGCCGCCCCCAGCGGCTCGAGAACCGACATTCAATTTGAGCTTGGTTTCTATTCCAATCCACATATTCATGTTAAAATAAAGGTCATAATATAAAGTTGACTTTCGGGTCAAGCGTTTCCACCGAAAATCGGAAGTTTTGATTCAGTTTTGAAACACGATTTCAAAGTTTATGCAACATTGTTTTATGGCGAAGCCCAAATTATAGCCCAGACACCAGTCTTAGTACTTTTACACAACAAAATGTATCATTATTTTGCTCACTAAAGAAGTGTAGGACTCTTTCTTTATAATATTGATACTACTGGACTCAAATTGCCAGTGCACTGTAATTGAGAAATCAATATTTTTGAGTGCTAGATCTAGGCCTAGATCTAAATAGTAAAAATATTTTTTTTCTCCCCCAAATCACTACTTTTTGGTGAATTTACTCAAAAAGTACCACCCAAGACATGTATAGGTTTATTCCAAATGCAATTCTGAATAATTCCATATAAGATACGAGTGTTTTTTTTCTGTTTGGGATCCTTTTTTTCAAAATTATTTAATTTTTTTTTGTTTCAATATTGGAGGTTATGATCCAAATGTACAAATATTATGGAATGTATGTAAATAACTGCTCATTTTTCAATATTTTCCTGTTCTATATACAGTTATGGTTATTTTGATGTATAATTTGACTAGGTGCAAACATATTTTTTGAGTTTCATCTGAGGTTATAAATTTTTTGTTTTCAAATTTTATCGGCAGCCAATCACAATTGTGTTGCATAATCGCCTCTTACAGGAACCAAAGTTGAAAAATACTCAAATAAACAAAACAGATATATTCTACAAATCATACTGAAAATGTTGGTATATAATATGTTGATATTTATTTGAATTTATGGCCCCCAAGACCTGTGAACAGCGCGTTAGTCATCATCTCATTTCGCCTTCCCGAAAAAAATTCGTCCTCAAGCCAAAAATAATACGTAGTGAATGAGTTAATGGAAGTGTGCAATGTAAATGACATTTATTTAAAATTACTATTACGATGATAATGATTGTGATTTTATAATAGATAAGTGACATTGTTGTTATTGTTGTTGTTAGCGATCCAGTAGCATCTGAGCGTTAACTCTTCTGCATGATGCCATTCTGTAATAGCTGCATGTCTGTTTTAATTGTTGTCTTGAGGAGTAGAGGCAGTTAGTTAGATGTGTGAGGTAGCTTGGGAAGAAAACTTCCCCTTAAATCAGTATAAATGACATTGAATGAAGAACAACTTGTGTTGCAGGGTACCCAAATGTTGGGAAGTCTTCAGTGCTCAACGCTCTAGTCAAAAGAAAGGTATGTGCATGTGAGATTGTCAGTCAAGTTCGAAGTAAAGAACTTTCTAAATGTATGAGTTTAAATCTTTATCCCCGGCAAGCCGCTCCCGGTGGCTTGCGGTGGGAACCTCTCTGCTGGTGAGCCGCTGACTCTGGCACATTCCTTTACGACGACTTTGACATCAAATTACTTTTCCGCAATGGCCGAAAACAGGTCTCTTATACTGGAAGTTCTTTCAATAGAAGAAGAACTCTAAAAATAGGTATGCTAGTTTCGATTTTATGACTCATTTAGTGACGCTTTTGTCATTTTTAGATTTTGCACCAAAAAAGGGCTGTGGAGATAAAGTAGGTAGCGTAAACACGGCCTCGCGAGCACTCGCGGCCTTCCGACCGCGTGGTATCGGTAAAATCGGGGTAATTCCGATCGCTGTTTCTTTGCTCTTTCGATATAAAACACCAAATGCCGTACACCTTGAAAAAGTTAAGCTTTTCCTTGTTACAATGGTGTAAGTTGTTTATATGTCCGATTATTAGGAGCTGGAGAATCGCCGACGAAAGCGAAGCCCCTCGCGGTCGGAATGCGAGGTCGGCAGATTGAAAAATTGACACGCGTTCATTCAAATGCTTCGCGGAACGAGGGATGATTAACTTTCTTCTTTTCATTGGCGGAGAACTGTAGAGCTTTAAACGGGCTTTCCCGTGATATAAGTTTAGCCTTTGCCGTCTTTATAGAAAGCTTTTAAAAATACCGTCAAAATGTTTAAAGATCCCTTTTTACAAAAAATATGTATAATACCGACTTATAACTGGTATCTATTAAAAGATCAGTTCATTTTCTATTAGAATAAAATTATTAACTTGGAATTATTTTACATCAATCCTTTCGCGAGACTCAGAAAGCATGTGACCCCGCACACGGGGTACACTACAGTATAGAGCCGACTCGTTGCCGCGGGGGCCAGTGCGCGCCGCCGGGTCAACGCTCGGTGTTTTTGTCGAAATAACGACAGATCATCGTGTTTGAGGCGAAAAATACTGATTTGTAAAGATCTCACAGTCTTGAAAAAAATTAGGCTCCATATATTTGTTATAGCGATTGTACTCTGTTAATGTGGTGATGTTTAATGCACTTGGTACTTTTTTTATTGTCTGTCAAACATGGGGTTGCAGCCAGTGACTGACTTTAACAAATTTGATCAAATTTTGAACAACTACAATTTTCTTAAAAATTGACGGAGAGGTTAAAGAATGGTACCAAAATGCTCAGTGGATATAGGCCTTTCAAATGGAACATATAAATTTGGCATACAGCTAGTTTGAAAATTTAGTTTCTGGTACCTAGATAAAGAGTTAATAATGATAATAATAATAATAATAATAATTGCATTTATATAGCGGATATCCATGCTCAAGAGCTTGCTCTATGCGCTTTACAACTATTATTACCCCAGCAGACTCTCTGAGAACACTCAGAAACATTCTCAGCTTCCGCGGAAGCATACAGTGCAAGCTGCGGATTTCACGTGCTCAAACACTATCAAACTGACAAGATCTTTCACTGTCTATAGCTGGGTACCCATTTCCACCTGGGTGAAGTGAGGAAAATTTGTGCAAAGTGCCTTTCCCAAGGACACAACGTCGGGTCCCTGACGGGATTCGAACCCACGACCTTACGGTTGCGAGTCCGAGAGCCTAACCACTAGGCCACCGACACCATACCCTAAAACATTCTCGGCTTCCTGGGAAGCTTTCAATGTAAGCAGCCAACTCAAACGCTGACAAGCTGACAAGATCTTTCACTGCCTATAGTTAGGTACCCTTTCCCGTCTGAGTGAAGAGAGGAAAATTCATGTAAAGTTCCTTTCTCAAGGCTCAAGGGCACAATGTCGGGCCCCTGACGAGATTCAAACCCCACTACCTTTTAGTTGCGAGCCCAACAGACACTTCACTAGACTGCCGAGGTCACGTAGTGCTCATGTCTTACTTACTTGTCTTACTTGTCCACTGTGTTGGGGTCACTGCAGTCGGAACATGTCCATCTCTGCTCCCCCACCCCCCTCTTCAGGATCCACCCGAGTCTGTCTGCTGCTTATAGTCTCCATCATAATCTGGTTGGAGATCCGTCGGACTGGTCCGCACAGGTGGCTGTGTTTCCCCTCTCGTCCTTGGATTTGGATCCCTTTCTCCTTCAACATTGTTGTGGGAACGGCTATCTGCCCTATTCTTCCTCAAATTTTCCCTTTCAGCGGTTAGGACGGTTGGTGGGTCCAGTGTCAAATTCCCTCCCACTACCTTTTAGTTGCGAGCCTGACAGGTAGTGTGTGTGTTTCATCACGGAATCATTTGTTACTAAATCCTCTATCATTTGAATGCATATACAGTGGAACTCGGATTCAACGAGGTCGTCGGGCCTGACCTAAAATCTCGTTGAATCCGAGTGTTCGTTATAGCAAACACTAGGTTTTGTGTAGATAAATTACATGTACAAGCACTGAGCAAGTAATGTACAAGAGAAGTCATAAGTAGTGCCTGAAATGCCTACATAGTATAAGCTGTGGAAAAAAAAGACCGATTTGTTCAAATACACACGCCTGTGTCATCTCGATTGTTGACCAAAAAGTTGAGTTGCTGTGTAGAGCCTATCATACGACAACTTTTGATTCCATAGACTAGCGTACAATTCATTATGTAGATCTACGTCAAGACTAGCTTATTATTGTAATAATGATCAGTTGCCGAAGGGAAAAAAAGACTGTGACGCGTTTGTATATTATATTATTATTATGCGATGTTCAACGCCCGGACCGCTAGTGCACACACACACACAGTTGACACAGCCACATGTGTGCAAGCCGCCCATCCGACCCCGACACACGCCAGAGTAGACACGTGCGTAAGTGTTGGTATTTAAAAAGGCCGCTGATTGGTGGCATGCAATCGGCTAAGTAAATACTGGTTCACGATGCAGGTGCAATGAATGGTTTCTAGGAATAGATAAAGTTCGTTGTGGGAGAAAAATGAGCAAAGCCACGTCTGTGGGGGCAGTTCACCCTGGCAGCGACCTCGTTGAATCCGAGCTCGCTGATTTAAGTGCTCGTTGAATCCGAGAGACTCTTATTGATTTTAAAGAAGAAAAAAAACGGGGAATCTGTCTCATCTCGTTGAATCCGAGCTCGTTAAATCCGAGTTCCACTGTACAATGACAACATCCGTAGATTCTGACCTGATTTTACTGGCACTTTTATCTCGTTTTAACGTTGTTACAGCATTTTCACATCAGAAGGGTTGACCGGTAACGGCTCACCAATAGCTGTCGTCAAGTGCATTTCTGTCCCCGTGGTTTTATGCACCCCGCATAATATAGCAAAATTTGATCCTTTTTTTCATAATTTCTGATTATTTTCCTTTATCATTCTTTGTTAAAATTAACAGAATCGCATAATTTCACATTATTGGGCTCAGTTTGCATAATTTCAAAATTTTTTTTGCATAAAATGACGGGGACAGGCATTTACAGAACTAGAAAATGTTGGTTGTCTGTGTTGAAATACAGATCCAGCATTGATGTGAAGGCAAAAGTGATAGTAACGCCTCTAATCTTGGGCACTTATTTCAACAGCTAAATATAAGACTCCACCGTACGCCATTTGGAAAAGTGGTGTGTGACAAAATCTTACACTGAGCAGCTGATATGACTTGATTGTGTTGCAAGTGGTGTAAACCCTTATGTTAAAGGTGTAACTCTCGTGGAATTGAACATGAATTTCACTTTATTTTTTACTGTCCATCAAAGGAATTTATTAATTCCCCCCCAGCCTGACTCGGCCCGGTGACAGAAATATGCAATTTTTGACCCACGATAAGAGATATGTGCACAACCTGTACTTTTTCATTATGGAAACTTTCTTTAACAAATGAGTGCTTTATATGATGGGATGTGGGCCAGTGGCCTTATACATGGAATAAACTTACTTACTTTCAAGTGCTGTAAAACTTGTACTAAAATTTTTATAAAAAACATGAAGTGATATTGATAACAGATGAGTGTTTTTTATGATGTGACATGGGCCAATGACCTTAAACACTGAATAAACTTACTTCCTTACTCTCAAGTGCTGTAAAACTTGTACTGTACTAAAACTTTAAAAAAAACATGAAGTGAAGTGATATCTTTCTATCTTTCCTCCCCCCCCCCCCCCCCCCTCCCCCTCCCCATCCAGGTTGTGTCAGTGTCCCAGACTCCGGGCCACACCAAACACCTCCAGACGATCTTCCTCTGCCCGACGGTCAAGCTCTGTGATTGCCCAGGTTTGGTGTTCCCTTCTATGGTGCCCAAGTCCCTGCAGGTGAGCACGTGTTTGCTATAAATCTGTCCCCCTGGTTTTATGCATCCCGCATAATTATATAATTTAGCAAAATTTGATCATTTTTTGCATAATTTCTGATTATTTTCCCTTATCATTCTTGGTTTAAAAAAACAACAGAATCGCATAATTTCACATTTTTGGGCTCAGTTTGCATAATTGCATAATTTTTCTGGCAAAAAACAACAGGGACAGCTAATTAATTAACCCAAATTGGGTGTGGTGTAGAGACTTGCGACACAGCCCCCTTTGTGTGCACTAATCTTTCTACGTCGTTTTATCCAAGAAAAATTATGAAAATATGCAAACTGAGCCCAAAAATGTGAAATTACGCAATTCTGTTAATTTTAACAAAGAATGATAAAGGAAAATAATCAGGAATTATGCAAAAAAATGATCAAATTTTGCTAAATTATGCGGGGTGCATAAAACAACGGAGACAGACTAACAATACATCAACAATGATATAACAACAAGAATTAAACAGGATTGCTCTATGACCGTGAGTCGTGAGGATATGTAAGGTGTGTGTGAGCACATACATACATACATACATACATATATATATATATGTGAGGCATCATGGTCAATTCAGGCGCTCGGCAAAACAATGAAATCGAAGAAACAAGCATTTTTCTGGGCATTGGGCAATTTTTAAAAAAATTTCTTTTTTTTTTTTTTGGCTCAAAACCTTTTACATCCTTTTATAAACGCATTTCTGTTTGGATGTTACCGAAAAATGTTCTTTAAAGGCACACAAAATGTAAATTTCCAGTTTCCAACAACACTAAAGCTTTGGAAGTTCCCAAACTTTGGCGGCCATTTTTTTGCTAATTTTACCTCACATACCGGGCAACCCGCTCCTCATTCAATCGCAAATATCTTGACTTCCATTCAACATAGATGGATAATTTGTTCTACCAAAAGAAGGCATATAGACAGGTTTTAAGATGATACCATAACCTCATATGCCCAAAAATTGACGAGGCCCTGGTTCCACCGCAGCGTGACACATTAGTTTATATTTATATTACTAATAATAATTGCATTTATATAGCGCTTATCAATGCTCTACAACATGCTGTGAGCTCTACAATGATTAATTTAAAGTTTACAAACTGACATCTTGTTGAGTCTCTATAGAGATGTAAAAACATGTACCGTACATTAACCCTATCCGTACGCCCTGTGGTCATTTTGTACCCCCTGGGTTGTATTTGTATTTTTCACATTTTAGAATACTTCTAGTACGAAGGTCTCTTTGAAACTTTCAGTATTTCTCAAAAAATCATTTTGACAGACTACTGTGCAAAGCGCAAGGATTGGATTAATGAGTAAATTTCCTCTTTTGAAAGTAGTGGCACAGAGTTCCCCACGTCGCATGGATACGATAGTAAAACACGATGTACGGATAGGGTTAAGTGGTGGCACAGAGTTCCCCACATCGCATGGATACGATAGTAAAATACGATGTACGGATAGGGTTAACAAAAATGTCCATTTCAGGTTGTGGCAGGAATCTTCCCGGTGGCCCAGGTGCGAGAGCCGTACTCCGTGGTGGCGTACCTGGCCAAGAGACTTGACCTGCCAGCTCTCCTCTCGCTGACCCCGCCAAACTCCTCGCCGAAGAAACGCGACAAGAACACCAGCCGCTACATCTGGTCCGCCATGGACATTTGTGATTGTAAGTGGGATATCATATATCATCATACACTTCAGCGCGCACATAGCGTAATCGGTGTACTGCGAAAATCTTTTTGTTATGTATGAATTTCGCTTTACGTATGCATAATTCCCCACATGAGTTCCACCCTACTAGTGGGGAATATGTTGGGCTGGAGGACTTTTAATCTTAGTGGTTTAAAAATATGGCGGAGTCTGCTTGAACCAAAATCTGCAGGACAGCCTGATTTTCTTTGGTTTAGCCGAGTTTTTTTTTGGTTTTGAGAGATACATGAAATGCAAATTCACAGATTTCTTTAAAATTAGAAAAGAATTTTGAATTCAAGTAGCGCACGAAAAACACCCCAGTATAATATGGTACCTTGCTAACTATTACTCTCAAGAGGAATGTAGTTCAACACAGAGATCTACCAACCCCCCGGAGCAGTGCCACTGACTCAAGTGTCTCTAGGCCATCCCCAAAGGGGGATATTGACTTGTTCTTATGCTCAGTAGAATTTTCAATGGGCTGATTCATCAATGTCATGCTCATACTGTGCCTGAGCTGCAAACGGGGAAATGCTGCTTTTTCTTTCCTAATCCTTACTATCGTAATTTTTCCTCTACTTCTTTTGTATGTTTGTCACTCTCTTGTGACCTGTTATTTCCGGGGGGCCTTGATAGTCGACGCAGACTTTGGGTTTTTGAAGCTAGAGAGGTGTGCAGAGTAGGCCCGATTCCCCGTTTGGACTTCTCTGTTGACATCCACCCCATGGCGGTCATATGGCCGTATGCAGTTGCAAGCACCGTAAAAACTCTACTAAAACTAAAAAACTAAGAGGTCCACTCTCTCACTGTAAAGTTTTCTTTTGCCCCCCACAGCCTGGGCTTTGAAAAACGGCTTCAGGACGTCGAAGGCAGGCAGACCCGACGTCTACCGCGCTGCCAACAAAATCCTCCGGCTTGCCGTGGAAGGTCAGCTTTGTCTCTCCTTCCGACCACCTTCCTACACTGACATGTTAGGTAAGTGATGCACTAAATGACCATAATAAAATTGTGTTTTTGTATTGGTACTCTTATTTATTCAACTTCAAATATTCTGAGTAGATCGTTGGTCTATTGGTACAATTTTTTGTTTTTGCTTCCCCTCCTTTTTTTTGTTTGCGGCCTAATACTTTTTGTCATGATACAAAATGATGGGCATTTGATCAGATCTTGTTTTTTTCTTGATGCTAAGTAACGGTAATTGAAAGTTGTGTCAGATTTTGCTCTTTTTCTGATTCTATTTGAGTTATTTTAAAAAATCAGATCTTGCTTTTTTTCCTGATTCTATTTGAGTTATTTAAAAAATCAGATCTTGCTTTTTTTCCTGATTCTATTCGAGTTATTTAAAAAAATCAGATCTTGCTTTTTTTCCTGATTCTATTTGAATTGTTTAAAAAATCAGATTTCGCTTTTTTTTTGCAGGTGCTAAATGACATTGTGCCAGTGAATCTCAGTTTAATTCAAACCATTGTTATCAAAAGATGCCCTAGTAGAAAGTTTTACTAATATTCTCACAATTTTTTCTAACAGACGGCTTGTTGCAAGATCCAGAGACACAGGACCTGGCCAAACTCCTCGTCCGTGGAGCCCGGAGTCATCAATGTACTCCGGGGGAAGACAGTGTGGAGGAGAATGAGGTGGGCGAAGAAGACGAAGAGGAGGAACATCAGGAGGAGGAAAAGGAGGAAAAAGAGGAGGAAGAGGAGGAGGAGGAGGAGGAGGAGGAGAGTGCACACAGTGACAAGGATGTTTGACTTTTGCTCAATGTTGAAATCAAAATAGTTTTTAATGTTTTGCCAATGTCCAAATCATGTAAAAATGTAATGTAAATATAGATATCACCATATGAAAACGAGGTATTGTTTTTTTTTTCGTTTTTGAAAAATTTTTACGGTACTTTTTCAACACAAATAGGTACCGTATTGTAAGTGCTGGAGATTAGAGGTGTTACTATATAGTAGGCCTACTGGGTAACGTACAAAGAAAAGAAGGAGGGGATAAAAGGACGATAGATATGGAGCAGAAAAATATCTAACCAGTGCCTTTGCATATTCAACACACTGTTAGTTTTAGTAAGTATTAGGGGTGCCTTGATAGTCGAAACAGACTTTGTGCTGTTGAAGCTAGAGAGGTGAGCAGAATAAGTCTGATTCCCTGTAAAGACTTCTCTGTTGACATCCACCTCTTGACGCTCATATGACCTTATGCTGTTGCGAGCGCCGTAAAACCCTCTACTATAAAAAAAAAGTAAGTTTTACAGCACTCACAACACAGTTATGTCATATGAGTGCCAAAGATTAGAGGTATTACTAGATAGTAACATACAAATAAAAGGAGGAGTAAACCAGTAAACCACACCAGAGCACCCACCAACCACCCTCTCAGCACACACAAAGCTGTGCCACAACATAGAAGAGACTTGTGCACAAAGCAGCCACTATGACACACATACTGACATCTGTGGTGTAGCAGTTAACCCCCGGGGCAGTGCCACTGACTGTAGAGTTTTTAGGCCATTCCCAAAGGGGGGACATTTCTCGTTCAAGCATAGTAGAATTGTAAATGGGCTGATTCATGTCACGCTCATAACTGCCTGATCTACAACAGGGAACTGCTGCTTTTTCTCTCTTGATCCTTACTATTGTCATTTTCCTCTCATTCTTTTGTATGTTTGTCACACTCTTGTGACGTGCTATTTCCGGGGTGCCTTGATAGTCGAAGCAGACCTTGTGCTGTTGCAGCTAGAGAGGTGAGCAGAGTAAGTCTGATTCCCTGTAAAGACATCTCTGTTGACAGCCACCCCTTGGCGCTCATATGACCTTATGCAGTTGCGAGCGCCGTAAAACCCTCTACTATAAAATAAAATAAAAAATATAACAGTCAGGCACTTTGCTGTTGCAAGCAAGAGACCAGAGTTCCATTCCTAAGCGGGGAATATTTTTATCCAGTATCTCAGTCTTTCAGCTTGGATGTTGTAGTCCTCTCAGCCCGCTCCTAAATTATTTAAATTGTGTTGATGGGTTTACATAAAAAACAAAACAACAACCCAGCAAAACGCCCCCAATTAAAAAAAAAAAAAAGAAAAGCATTCATTTATAAGCCACAAGATATTTTACAATTTCTTTATTCTATTTATCATGATGACAGTTACTTAACACTTACGACCTAACATCCTTGAAAATGTTTTATTCAAGATTGGTCTGAAAGAACATCCGAATTATCAACATCTGATGATGGATGATTCTTCAAACGTTGCGTCATCGTCTAGATCGGAACATAACAGTCAAGACATTCAACATCATCTGAATATAAATTTTCATGTACCAGGCCTGCCGAACCAACTCCCTACATGACTAAAAATAAATAGAAGCTTTCCTCAAAATCCTCCCAAGAGTTGGGGGAAAAAATTGTTGGGAGTCTCCAGAATCTCACAAGACTGGCATTATAAACCTACTATCACGGCAAATGAATAAACGAGTATATTGCAAATACACGCAAACAAACACAAATAAAAATTAGTACTTTTTTCTGTCATTTATGATAAGTCGTGCAAATATTGCAAATAAAACTGTGTATTTTCACACTCTTCACGATAAGTTGCGCAAGGCCAATGGAAATGGAATTAATTCTTTTTTTAATGGGATTTTACGCAAATCCGAATAGGGTTCTTCCGCAAAAAAAAAAAATTTAAAATTTTAAATAAAAAATTGGAGGCCTCCGATTTTTTGAGTAGGCCTACTTGGCAGGCCCGGTGTCAACCCTAAGCGTAACTGGTAATGAGAAAGAAGAAGAAAATCGGGAACAGTTCAATGTAATCAAAGAAGATGAAAAAGGTTTCCAATTCAACGAAGATGGCACGAGTATACACGTAAACAACTTTCACTTACATACACACAGTGAAGTCTGCTTTAACCGAAATTATCTAGGGACCACTGGATGTTGGTTGGTCTATCTGTGTTTTTGGCTTAGAGAGATGAAAAAAAAAAATGGGGGTGTGGGGGGTATGTTTCTATTTTTTTTCTGTCTACAGCTGTTTTTGGATTATACCCGGGTATGGTTTAAACAGACGCCACTGTATACGCACAAAAGAACGGACACATTTTCCAGTATTTGTTTCATTTCTTCAGCGTTTGCCTACTCTGAACCAAAACTGACAGCAACGAAACAAGAAAACCAGCACAACCTTAAAATTCCGACACATTTACATGTTTAGACTACAAAATCCACTTCTTTGAAAAAAAAACCCACCAAAAAAACCAACTGATCCCTAGATTATTTTCTTAAGCTCAGCAAGTTTTATGCAGTGCTGCAAAAGCCATCAGAAAGAAAACATCTAGTATCACATCGACACCTTTTCTATATTTATTAACATCCAATATGTTGGGAATACTCAGAGAAATCAAAACTGACAGCGCCACTACCCATCAAAAGCAAAGAGCGATGCAGCAACACCTGCGTATTTTTTAAAAGACAATTTTAGTGAAATCAGAACCTTGATGAAAAATAGGAATCCTAAAAGCTTCAGCTGCGTATGATAACAAAAATGAGAAGAAAAAAAAAGGTTCAACTTTTGTCTTTGAAATAATTCCCATAAGGCCAGAATAAAATCCAGATACAGCGGAACAAGGT